GAGTACCAACAGCTGGAGTGCGTTCGAAGAAAGCTGTAATTCAATAGACCTTTGAAAAAGTAGTTAAGCTCCTTATTAACTTCAAAATCTGATCGGCTGATTCAACCTGAGCTCCTATATGTATACGACTTGTTTACGTAGCTTTATCATTATTCCGATAGCTTTTAAAATTTCTGACATTCACACTGCTATCTTCTCTTGCTTGCCGATGATGGTGGTCTGCTGGTTGCGAATAACACGTGGTGGATCGATCAATGATATATTACATACGCGTATAAGAGAATCGGTGTACTCTAAAAAGGGGAATAGATGGAATAGGAAAGAATTGAAAAATTACTTAATAAAAGTCACACTCCCCTCTTGGCTCGGCCTTGCGAATGTTTTCGTTTATTCGAAACTTGACGACACGTCAAACCTGTTTCTCCGGGCTACAGGGAAGCATCGGGCACTTCGCTTCACTCAAGAGGCCAAGACGCAGCACGTGAGAGTCGCGAACGAATGAAGCCGCACGTCGTATACACATTTCCAGCGTCCGTTTTCATTGTTTTCATCCGCCGAAAGCGTTAAAAATGGAAATCGGAATCTTAAATATCGATATCGTAATGGGCTCTCGTAAAGGCGCGTACCGATTACATGAAATATGATTGACAAAGGATTCGATAAGTAAATTAAAACATGACAGCTTTAAAGTGCGTTTACCTTGGTCCTCATCTTTAAGAATTTAGCGACCTTCACGAACGAATTGAGCATCTTGGGCTTCGGCATTTTTCTCAATTTCAGGAACACCGTTAAACGAATAATGTCCGATTCTGATTCCTCCTGCTGTTCTCCTCCGTGTAGAGAGTCTCAGATTAAAGTTGCTGTCGCTCCTTTGCAAGTGAGACTGAATATTCACATGACGACAGGATGCACCCAGCTCTTTCCTTGGATTCTTCTAGAAGCTGGGCAGCCAGCCAAAACACACGGCTGTCACTCGACCGCACGAACACAGTCTTCTATTGCTTTTGTCAAATTGGCCGACGTTCAGGCTTTACTATTAGATTCCCCGCGAGCACGGTATTTCGGAATAAATGAATATTTCGAATATAAGGATATCACTCGTTGTGTAACGTACAGCGACAAGGAAAACGAACAAAATTCACGTTCTACCAAATTGTATTATTCGTTGTTTCACAGCGGTAAGTGTCTTTGGTGCAATCGAGCATCCGCCGACAGACAAAACAAAGCGTCGTCCAAAATCAATAGGAAACCGAGTCAAAGTCGAGCAACTTAAAAAATTCTTTGTCCGCTCCCCGTTCGCCGATGCATATACTTGTTAGTCGGACTGTTGAGAATAATCAAATCCAAACCTCGCAACTTAAGCAAAGTCTCAACTAAATACGTATACAGAAGCTCTGACAGCGTGCTTTACTTCCAGAAGACTAAAGCCGTACTGAACTTCAAGCCCTGAGCGTCCCGGTACATGTAGTCTCTGCATAAACCACTGCGCACGTTCGTTGCGCAGCACGTGCTACCCGTTTGTTGTATTTACGGATTGCGCAGCCGAGGGTGGACGGACTCTGCCGCTCGAACAATCCTACCTAGGCAGCCGGAAAATAATCTAGAATTCTTTGTTCGCGTCACGGCAGTCTAAAAAAGAATTATAAACCTGCCGAAAAACAGATACGACAGTGTTTATAAACGTCGCAGTCGATCGTATTTAAAGTCAATGAACGATTTCAGCAACCTACCACATATCCTGCAATGTAAACTAACCTCACATTTTTAGCCGTTACCGAATACGAAAACAGTCTATCGATTGCTTAACGATATTTCGTGACTCTTTTGGCTTTATGTATTTAGAAGAACGACTTCGCTGATAACCAAAGAATTATTCATCGAGACTGCTGTTCATCTGTATCAATATTTTCGACCAGATATACCGATATATATAAAGTGTCTGTCACGTCGAAAATCGAGGATTTAGATTAGGTTAAAATGTAAACATTTCCTACTTCGTATATATCGATCGATCGTGACGAATACCGGCCCCGGGCGAATCGTACATGTAGACACGAGACGCGCATATTGGCATTTAATAAAAATCAAAGAAATCGACATCTAACACAGAGACCTTCCACACTCGAAAGATTTAATAATTATTATTGCCTTTCTCGTTCATCGACACCCGACGACCACCACGCAGACGCCCATTGGCATCCGACGCCGAGCGACTCCCGAGAGACACGAACGTCCTTTCGCTACGTGGCTAATTTCGTCGGAGCCGTTTATCTCATCGGCCAGAACCTGGAGATTTCGAAGCACAAACGACATTGGACAAGTGAGAGAAAAAAATTGAAAGACAAAAACGAGCGCAGGGTAGAAAAAAAAGATTTGCGATCACACAACTGAAATTTAAGTCTTCGCGTGCGGGTTCGTACGTCCCTCCATGTTTCTTTCTTACTTTTTTTTTTACTATCACCGTATTTTTATACGATAACCATACAAATTGAGAACTACTGCCGCAACACGCTTGTAATTGCCGAGGCGTATACGGAAATGACATAATTCGCTGAGCCAATGACGAGGATGATCGTTTCTATCGTGAAAACGACAAAACTCTCAAGAATCTCACTTTTCGCTGCTGTTTGTAATAATACGCGATATTTCGATTACGGGTGCAGTCGGTTATTTTGCGGGTGTCGCCAATAGACTCAGCGAAGACCCGACGAGTCCGGGCTGTGAGAATACTGGGAATGACGGGTGAACGAGGAAGGCGAAGGAGGGGGTAGGGGGGATAGGGGTCAGTGGTCAGGAGCGACAGGAAGGAGTCCCATCGGTATGTTTAACAGAGTTTCAGGTTAGTACTCGTCGTGGAAAACTCGGAAAACTTTCCACTGGAAAAATTCGTCCGGCACGGAGAAGTCAAGCCCCGAGATTGAATTCGTAGCTGGATACGTAACTTTACATGTACGTTTTGCGTAGCTTCGGACAGCGGGGGTCCAGCTATTTGCATTGGCATTGGGTTCCTTTTATTGGACGATGTCCTCACTCATTTTACTGACTTTACGCATCGCTTCAAGACGTCCGATGCGAATCGTGAAGATGTTGCGACGCGACCAACATTTTCAATTTGTCGAACCTCCCTCACGGTTCGACAGCTGACTAAGGACTAAGGCACTTTTGCGAACGGACTTCGGAGCTATCGAGTCGAGATACGAATGTTTCCCTTAAAGCGCCCTACCACGTTTCGCAAACTCGAAGTACCCTTATAGTTTTCCAATAATAAAATCGTCGTTCGATACCTTCGAAGGTTCCAAAAATAAAATTATAATCGCAAAAAAAATTACGGGACAATCCGGTTTATTACTTAAAACTTAAGGCTGCCCCCCTTTGTCACGGATGTCTGCCGTTATGAATTCCCTAGGAAATACGAATAATTGTTTATTACTCGAGAGCCATAAACATCAATAGACTCCTTGATCAGCTGATATGCTAACTTCTCTCTGACCATACCGTAAACGCCAACAGGTCGTTTCTCCAAAGTTCCACTGGATAGTCATTAATGGCCCAAGTCACGTAGTGCTCGGGATCCGATTGGCTAATCTTCGACTGAGCTACACAAATTTCTCGCGTGATACGGAGTCGTGCAGAAGAGCACGTTCCACATGCGAAAATGCAATTTGAATGATATTATATATTAAAAAAAAAAAAAAAAAAAAAAAAAAAAAAAAAAAAAAAAAAAAAAAAAAAAAAAAAAAAAAAAAAAAAAAAAAAAAAAAAAAAAAAAAAAAAAAAAAAAAAAAAAAAAAAAAAAAAAAAAAAAAAAAAAAAAAAAAAAAAAAAAAAAAAAAGTTCGTCGTCATTAAAGATTATTCTGGTAGTCTCATAAAAAAATCCATATAAAGCATCCATATAAGAGCAAGAGAATAAACGTCAAAAATAATGATGACGACATTAACGGTGCAAATGCCTCGAGATGCGTTAAAAGTAAAACGGGGGTCCAAGAGACAAAGAGGTTAGCAGGTATTTATGAACCTTAGAAGGTCGTCCTCTTTGAACGACCTCTGGCGTAAGAAGTGCGCAGCTTATGGATTTTTGCAAAATTTTCGCTCAACGGACATAAATCGAATGGGTAAGACACTGACGAGAAACCTAACCTCCATTGAAAAAGATGGCGCCACAGAAATAAAGGACGATCACATTATTTGCGCGTGCAAGATCATGCGGCGATATCTATAAAGTCAAGTTCCTATGAAACGACCAGCTATAATTAGACATTGCGAGTAAAGCCAATGTAAAGAGCTTCGGTTGGCCGTGGGCCAAAGAGGTTGGGAAGCTAAAAGTTTCATCGGCCCCCTTTCACCACCCCGGCAACGTACGGCGTGTCGAAGCGTAGGAAAAAGAATAATGTAGCGCAAAGCTTCCTTTCTCGAAATAATACACGACGATGAAGAACTTCATTCCGCAATACGAAAACACAGCTGAGCAATCCGCTTGACGATGTTCGCACGTATCGATGGAATCGGGGGACTCTTTTTTTACGCGTAACCTATGCCACTGCTGATAATCGCGAAGCGCAATGATCAAGGTGACGTAGAACGTTCGCTTTAGCCTCGTGTATCGGAATTTCGTAAATTAATGCACGTTCTCATAGCAGGCTTTTGGTGCGATACAGATAAATATCTCTCGTGGCACTACGTGGAGGCACTTTGAGCTTTTGGCATACATCGTCATAACAATAATTACACGCACAAACATTGACTGCTCGGTGTAGCTGGTACAACAGTATGGTCTTTCCACAAGGAATCGGTGTTAACGCAGAAAGCGTGATTCGATGGCGAATTAGCTGATAATGATATTCGGAAATCGTGACAGTGATTTTTGATTGATTGTTTCACGGGTATACATATAGTGTGTGTAATATATACATATGTATATATATATATATATATATATATATATATGCATAACAGTGTGAAATGTGGAGCATGGACCGGATTCTAGGTCTTGAGGAGTACCTCGGGATCCTGGGCCTGTTCAGAGTCTGCAGATGCGCTCGAGGTCTTCAAGATGCTGTAGAGCTTTACGTAGGGTGCCTTTATCAGCTGTTCGTCCGCAATGTCAACAATTCAGACAAAGAGACACATTCGCCTCGTGAACAACGTTGGCATGGTCGTGGAGCCAGTAATAATTTTAAAATTATGATCGGGCTCCATTTTTTCTTCCACTTCCCTTAATCATTTTCGTCCCGCCTCGTCCCGTTAATTTGGCCAATTTCGTGCGTCTAAACGACACCGAGATTCGTCGAGAGCGTTGGAATTTCGTGACAATGGACAAATTACGATCACGTAGGCGAAATCAGATAGAAATTCGTTTCGGGATCCGTGAATGGAGATTCGAACAAATCAGGAAGTCGAGGTCGACGCGACGAGGCGAGAATTCTTCCTTTCGACTTTTATCTTTCGACTGTCATCGTATTTTCCTGCCGATCGAGGTTCCCTGCAAGGTCAACGCTCATTCCCGGTATACTTGAAATCACGTGAAATCTCGACAAAGAAATCATAGATTTTTAAGTGTGGCCAATCGATGACGTGGCTCGATCGGACGAGGGGTACCAAGAAATCTTTCAAATTTTCGATCGAACAATTTTTCGTGACCTTGCCGGGATCTCGTATGGCAATCATATGAAAACTAGTTAAGAGCGACGGAGCGACGAAAGTGATAAGGAAGAATTTATTGAATTACTTGATCTCGGGCGAAATCGGTTTGATCGCGAGAAATATAAGACAGTTCTCGGTCCGGCTTATCCAAGATTCAAATAGACGCATCAAGATGAGATTCCGATAGAGTTACTAAACGAAAGGAGCAGGGAGCAATTACAACGACAGAGACAACAGTCGAATTCTTTAGTTGATCTGCTAATCATCTGTCGAGGTAGCCAATCATTAAAAATGATCCGGGAAATCGATCGATCGTCATCGTTATACGAGTCGTGGAATTAAATATTCAACGAACCAATAAAATATATACGAATATAGATATCTCTAGTACTGACCTCCCATGATTCCCGAGTGAGCTCAGAGATGTCGTCGGTGTCGCGCGGACCAGTTTTCCCTTCCTCGGCAAGTTCACTCGGGTCCCCGTCGTGAGGTGACAGTTCGGGCGAAAGGTCCGTCTCCGTATCGGAGAGAATGTAGCCACGTTCACGCCATAGATTCTCGTCGAGTTCTCCATAAAGAGCAGGAACCCATGCATGGATGAACCTGTACAGGTCATCGACCCTGCGAACGAAAATTCATCGGGATGCATTAAATTCTGTATAAAAAGTTAACCTGAAAATCTAAATGCGACAAATATTTAATAATCGCGTGGCTACGTGCTGTCGCGCGCATCGACTTTTACCTTCGATTCAAAATTGGCGCGATTCTTCGTACGAGCATTCTCAGCGACGGGACATAGAGAAAGCCGAAAATTCGACTAACCGCGTAATTCATGTTTATCGCGTGTTCGTGGAAAACGTTTGTCTTCGAATCCCTTGACTTTTATTCGATATTTGAAACAAGGTTCAAAGTGGGCGGTAACGTTAACAAAATATTCAACAATCTACTCCGATCAATGACTTCGGACGACGAGGCTTATATAGGTAGATTAAGTAAATCTTTCTGGAAAAAAAAAAAATAAATAAATAAATCCTTATCAAATTCTCAGTAACGAAATTCTTTATCGAACCTGTTCGAAATTATTATCGCACGTAAAAGCGGCACGTGTTACATTGAAATACGTAATAGTTTTGCTTGCGAGCTAATGAAAATTATTGCTCTGTATATATCGCTGATGTATTCACATAAATGTCGAAGAACGCCAGACGCTGCTGTGCCGAGTGTGCTGCTCGTTCAATTCGTGCCAACCTAACCTATCTAACCGACTACAGTCACGCTCTCTTTCACCAACTTAAAAATATCTTATACTTCAAGATCGCCAAGACATAACAATTATGATTGATTATTCGATTAATTAGAACATTGCGCAACAACACAGACGATCGGATCTTCGAGATGAATCGCGATTCGGGAGAATTAAGGATGATGAAAGTTCAACGCGACGCGTTTACAGGTGTTACGAAGAGACTGTGGCACTGTGGGCGTGACCTGGATACCAGCCATATGACTGATATGGAATTACGTACGTGCTGTTGCCGAGACGCACGTGCTCTAGAAATTCGCGGGAAATTTCAAAATGATTTAAATCAATCTATAATCTTATCAACCTGTATTTTTAAATCGATCCTGGTAATTGACAAGTAAATCAGTCAATCGAAAAATTAAAAGACGATATAAAGTAATCTCCAAATGGATAATAAACATGTTTTCTAATGTACAGACATACGCAGGCGATCACTGATATAACCTCGTAAGTAAACAGCTACCGATCGGAATTCAAGATTAATTGTATTGGATGACAGTCAATCAGCAGTATAAAATTATTTTATCTTATATCTAAAACTTTGTAAGATTTTCAAAAAAAATCACCGATTACGTAATCTCGAATCTCCTACGACGTTAGAACGGACTGTCCTACTTTACCGACCGATTGTAAGTAAATCGGCAAGATTATCGATAAGTCGTCGAAACTTGCCATGGTTACGTGATATTATCCAAGGGCACAATTTTCGTAAATTTACAAAAACAAAAAAAAAAGTAAAAAAAATTTTTTTCAAACAATCCAATCAAGACACAGGGACTCACCTATTGCGCGGAACGCTGAACCAATATTCCGGTCGTAGCTTTTTCTTTCCATAGCTCATTATCGGCGTCGATCTTGGTATCTTCTTACCCTTGGGTCTTCCTGTGCGCAGCCTCAGGTAAAGGGGTGGGTCCTCGCAGGATCTCGCGGGTCGTGGTATCAGTTCTGCCATTGTAAAAAAAGCCCACCGCAATGCCATAAAACGTCACACTTTTTCACTAACAAAATTAGCCCTTCCACCCGCGCCCCCGAGATACTACTAGCTCAATCGACGTATTCACTTTCCTCAAACCCATTCGGTCCCCAAATACTTTCCGAGTACGAACGAAGCTTTCGAAACGGAAAACAGCCCAAAAAGAATTATCCTATATAGCACTATTGGATCCCACTGATATTACGAGTGTACAGTGCTTGAGAGTATTATTATTAAATGCAACGGAAAAATTCGATTTTCTGGACCACCGAGTACTTTGACGCTGGGTACTTCTAAAGTCAAAGTATCGTTAATAATGCTACGGCCAGAAAACATTGTACGGCGCCAATAGACAATGAGGCGTATGAGAATTCGGTTTTGTGTATAAAAACGAGGTTCGTTCGATTTCAGAAATTTTTCAAAAATCTATGAAAAATAAGCGGGCACTCAATAAGTCTATATAATTTTTTTTTTTTTTTCGCTTTTATCATAAAACCTATTCTCGTATCCTCTGACTCCCATTAATCTTTCTATGATTTTACGAGAGTATATGCAAGCACACGATTGTCACACTGATTGATAATTTAAAATATCAGATACACATCATGGTCAAAGTACAGTCAAGACAATGTTATTATAATCATTATTACCACACACACAAAAAAACAAAGATGGCGTCGATCGGGCGAAACCATTATATAAAATGTTATAATCGAATGTATTTTTTTTGCGAGTGCATGTGTTTGTGTTTTTTTTTTTCATATACATATATATGAAATACTTTTTGACAATAATTGGCAATCGAGATAAATAAATGTTCTGGACCCTTTCTTCCGGCATGCTGTCAACCGGAACTGATAATTCAAGGCAATGCAAAAAGGTGAAAGTAAAAAGAAAGTACGATTGAACGTAATATAAAAGAAGAGTACAGAACAAGTAGAAAATCGAATGTATAGACATTTACAGGCTGTACAAGTACGACAGGAGTAGCGTTATATTGGAATAATAATAATAGTAGGTGGTATAGAGTACACAGTGTATGAAACCGGAATTGAAAGTGGTAGTATATGTGCTTGTGCATGGAGACAGCCAAAATCAAAGTAAATAATTAGAAATAATGAAATATATACGTTCGAAATTAGTTTGAAATCGAATTCCGAAAGATTAATTTTTTTTTTCACAGAGCAAAGCAACGAAGCAAATCAACAAGACAGCAAAAATGGATCGACGAAAATATTTGTTCAGACAATTTGGAGTTTGGTGAAAGATGATAGAGCAATACTGAGATAGGATGTGAGGGAATGGCTTAAAAGATAAAGAGAGAGGAGAGAGAGAGAGAGAGAGAGAAGCGTGAAGAGACGAAGTGAACGAGTAAAAAGTAGAGAGCAAGCAAATACAGTATGAACCTACCGAGGCCTTCGAGTTCGGGGAAATTAGGTGCTTGGACTAGAGGGACAACAGAAACAGATGAGAATTACTGGATTAGTATGATTTCTCTTAACGAACGTGAATTTTGTTCAAATTTATGCCATAACGAAGATCCCCATTTATTTGTTCATTTATTTTGAGAATAAATTCTCTTTTAATGACAACTGAAAAAATAATCAGACATATCTTTCATCCACAAAATGAATTACTGTTTCGAGGAATTTACGTAAAGTCTAATCGAACTTTTCTGTCAGCTGTGTCAATAATTAAATTTTATCATTAATTATATATTTTTCTCTAAATTTATCTATACCGTCAGAGCATTTAACTGATAACAGACAAAAAAAACGTATCAAGTAACGAATTGCTAAAGAGCTGCATGAATGGATCAGAGATAAGTTTTATGAAAGTGCCAACCGGGTAAGATTTCTTGTTGGCTTTTTAAGATCTGTCGTTTTGGCGCCAATCGTTTGCCAAGGTTGTAGATTTTCGAAATTTGGATTCCGCTTCGCGTGATTCGCTGAATTGCAATCAAGGACGGAATCCGGTCCGACAATCTATAACGGATGATAACTATAGTGAGATTCTTCCTCGAACCAAAGTATTACCTTCAGTGAGTCAGATCTGTGTAATTTGGCAAATTATCAAAATTTCACTTGAATTCGAAGAAGAATGCGGTGCGAGCGACGATGTTAGTAGGAAGTGATAGTATAATCTGAATTACGATTAAACAAAGACTCGAAGATAGACATCCTTGAGAAGGAATAGTCGGGGAAAGAATTTTCCTTTAAAGCTAAGAGATAAAATCTAAAGAGATCGATCGTTAAGCCGAAACCATTCGAAGGTGGATATACAAAAGTGTGAAAAAAAAAAAAAAAAAAAAAAAAAAAAAAAAAAATTAAAAAAAAAAAAAAAAAAAAAAAAAAATTAGCATATAAAACGAACTACCTGATGTATTCGTATTTTATTGATTTCACTAAATAAAACAAATAAATTTCACTCTTCGTTCATGTCTATATGTACAGTTTCGTGATAACGTCCGGTAAAATAATATTCAAAAAAAAAAGATGAAATCTTACGACAAATCACATGCTTAATCCTTTGCATTGATTTTCTAGTCGACACCACAATATTTATCTCCAAGTATCAATTGTCAAAAAAAAAAAAAATTAATTAATCGATCAGTCAGTCAATCGATTTCCACGATTTATCGCGTTCTCCGTCAATTTAATTCCCGGCAGGACGTGACGCGAGACAACTTCCCCATGGAAAAAAAATATATATATACATACATACATATACGCATATGCATACTGTATACGATGATCATCTTAGATAGAAAAAAGAAAATGTAAAAAAAATCTCGCACAGTAAGAAGCATTGCTACGTAGCGTGTGCGAGTGTCCTGATATGTAATATCATAATTCTGTTGTTTATGATTTTTGTAAAACGTGTTAGTCCAATACCGGCCTCGTTCCCAGGATAGTGTATGTATATAATATTTGTACAGAAACTAATAAAACCAATTTACTAATAAAACTAAAGTATGTATACCCTTGTAAGAATCCCAGGTGGCAGATGATACTCACTGTCAAAGCTAACGAAAAGTTCGGGCATGTCGTCCACAGACACCATGCTGCGATAATCGAGACGCGGCGGTGCGGTTGACGTTTTACTTCCACGACTGCTGTCGACGCTGCTGCTGCCGGATGACGTCAGTGGTTGCTGCCGTATGAAGGTACCCACGGAGGAACGCCTGCGAAATTTATATTTATTCATTATGTTTTTTCTTCGATCGCTCCTTAGGATATTTCCAAGCTGCTGACGGATCTGACTTACGTGTTTAAATGAGAATTATCATAAATTTAGATAATCAATGCGATCGTACGTAAATTTATATTACAAAAGGAAAATCCGTACAGCTTGGAATACACTTTTTTCTTTTTTTTTTTTTACGAGCTACGATATTCTTATTCTGAACAACATTTACAGGATAACATTTAGTGACTAGAATGTGGCAGAGTAATGCAATAAATAAGCAAACGAGTAAAGCGTTCTGCGAGTATTTTCATGATTTCGTGTGTCGCGTTGTCTTCTTTGTTCTGCAGGGCGTAAGCGATTAAGTAAGAGAGAGAGAGAGAGAGAATCAGAGTTCAGATGCTAGAAAGAGTTTTTTGTGGTTTACCTGGAGACGGAAAACGGATATCCTGTTTTTTACTGTTAGACTGAGTTGTACAGTTGACACGCGGTGCTGTTCGTGTGTATAGTAAGATTTATCTAGGAGAGAATTCCTCTTTTACAAATAAAATTATTAATGAAATCTGTCCGGAAATTCAGTTCGTTGTGTTTCTCGAAAGTTTCGAGTGGACATGGACATCCGACAAACAACAGTGGGACCAAGACAGTGTACAAAGATTCTAGTAGGACAGCAGGAAGTTGTAAAAAAAGATAAAGGAAGAAGAAAATATAAGATAACATTAAAAAGTATGCTAATTCGAATAAACATAACAGAAACATTTGTCAAATCTACTGCAAATGTTTACAGCGATAAAGATTCGAGATAAATGAAAAATTATTTGACATTGTTTACTTGATGTCATTATTTCTACAAAGATTGGCAAACTGAGAAACGATAGTCAACGTAATAGGAACAATGCTTAAAGGATAACAAGAGACAATCTAAGCAACAATATTGACTACGGATTTTAAATAATTCCTACAGCAAGACTTAGGATGTTTGTAGAGATAACGTGAAACATCGATCATGGCAACGAAGGGACGATTACAAAAGTAAAGAGAAAAGTTGAAGGAAGAGAGAAAGAAGACGGGCATTGAAAGAACTGAAATTCCAATGGATCAAAGAGAACCGGCAGCCAAAGGAGGAATGACATTTGAATGATAAAAATATCGAGACACCGAGAGACATTCAGGCACAATTTAAGAAAATAGAAATAGTATAGTGAAAGAATACTTGAGGAATTCCTAAGGTAATACCAGGGGAGGCGGACGACATTAGGAAGTAGGATAACGAAGTGCAGACGAGATCATCCTGGTCCGCTGGACTCACCCGATGAGGCCTATGGGACCTGGTGAGAATTGAGGATTGGCAGAGTCCTGAGAGAGCGAGGCGGCACCTAACGGCGGAGGTGTTCCTCCCGCCCGGCCGCCTCCACTCTCCTCGCTGGGCGTTTTAGCGAACAGGCCCTGGCTAAAGTCACTCACCAGGTTGATGGGCGAGCTTCGTCCGACACCATTACACATTGCTGGTTAGTTACGGTGCAAAATATCAGATAACGCAAAGCGAGACTAACCCGATAATCGATCAGGGACCGATTATACCTTTCTACCGTGATACACATCACCCATTGTATTATTGTGATATTGATTAGTAATTTCTAGTGCGATAAAGAAGCGTTAATTATTCTGAGCCATTCCACAGGCACGTGGCTACTATGTTACACGTTGTCCCTAATAGATCATTTTAAATGCAAACGGTCGTCTCGTTCCTCTCTTCGTACGTACGCTGATCCGTGGTTCCCTGTCGGAGACTAACGTGAAAATTTTAGAGTTAGCCTAGAACTAATATTCAGCTTGGCTTTTGGGAATCTCCTACCGAACGAGACGACCTTTTCGGAATTCGCCATTGGCACTTCAAATAGGCGTATCGTGAATATATTTTATCTAGGACGTTAATGCTAGGAGAAGTAAAAGAGGCTTTTTATTTGGATTGCCATTAAACCACGGTATGAAAATATTCTATGTAAAAATGTAAGAGTAATGTAAAATTTAAATGAGGCGTGAAAATAATTACCTGGAGAATACTTTGCTGAATACAGAGGAATGATGTGCATCCGCACTGTTCGGTAAGCTAGATCCCTTTTCAGGTACTGGTTTCGATTCATCCTCTTTCTCGGCGGTCAGTCCTTCCATCCAGGACAAGGGGTATGATAGTCGTTTTAGCATCTGGAAAAAAGTATTTATCGTAACGCGACATTCTGTGATTGCGAATCGTACAGAAGATTAATATGTAAAGTGAAAAACCTTATTCTTGCGAGTCTCCTGCCTATCGTCGTCCTTGTGCTCGTCGTCCTTTTCGATTTCCTCAGTGTTGCTGTCGAGACTAAAGGACACTGAACTGGCTTTCTTGCGACCGTTGGTACTTGCGTGTCCACTGTCGGAACTAGTGTTGGTGACGTTAGTGGGAGCGATCGTAATTGGAGGTACCCAATCAGAGGAGAGGACAATATCGGCATCCGAATAAACCTTCTTCGATGGGATTGGTTGAACAATCGGAAGAGGAGGATTAGGATCACGAATGTCAATACCCGAGTCGTGGCATGACAACTTGACTAGAGATCCCTCCTCGTCTTCAGGAATTGTATTGGCTTTTACGGGTTCCGCCTAAGAGATAGATATACGAAAATTTGTAAGGATTCGTCATTCATCTTACAGAATAAGGAAGAAACTTGTTAAAAGTACCTTTTCAGAGCTCAGAGAATCCTGCTGCTCGTCATCGACGGAAAATGACAGTCGATCTTTGCTAGGAACCGCCCAATGATGATCGAGCATCGATCGCCTGCGCTCCTCCAGGGTTCGACTAGCCTGCCCGCTTGGCTCTTTTTCTTTATCTTTTAACTTCTCTTGATCCTTCTCCTTATCTTTGGTCGTAGCTGATCCTTCTTCCTGCATCAAAATAAACAATGCATATCAAAGAAAGTGAGACAATAGGAATCAGAATTATGCATGAATTCTTTGCAATCACAAATGTTTCCTTACATTTTGAAGATTGGTAGGCGTGACAAGATCTCTTTCAAAAGCCTTGGGAAAGGCGTCGCCGTCGCGTTCAGCGCAGCTGCAGACGGATTCGCTATCGTCGGCAGTCAATTCTGGAAAATGTTCATCCTTCCCAGGCGACTGACATTTGCTGCGTCCTTCCTGATTCGGCTTCTTCATATAGTAGATTTCCGGTTTCTTGTCAGTCCCATAGGACTCTGTATGCCCGACGCGCATGTGAGCGATATCATAGTAAATGGCAGCATTGACGACGAATTCCATCGGCGCAATCACACCGTACGATTCAGCACCGTGCTCGATCACCAGAGGATCCGAGACATTCGGATCGAACATGACAGCGTTGGGTGTAACCAATAAAACACCACCTACCACGCCCTGTTATTCGCAAGACCATTAATTCACACTTCGTACACTTCGTACACATCTACATTATTTTTTCTTTTAATTCCTTTAATCACCTGTCCATCCGTAATATGGCGAACGTTAATTTTGAGGAATCTCTCCCGGTATGGCTGCTCCTCATCGTCCACAGTGGTCGCAGCACTGCCCAATGGTGTTTTTACCCGGTCCAGGTGGCTCGGCTTTGGCGAGACAGGCCGCAGATTGTCAAGAAGTTCTGGAACAGGAAACGCATTGCTAAGTTAAATGCATCCCGAAGCAATCTTTAATCAGAATTCAAAAAATTCTCAGACTGTTCGATTCAAGTACTTGTATTTCTCGTGAAAAACATTGTACACGATGCACCCATATGGCAAAGAAAGAGTAAGTAGACTGTGCTTGAACTCTAACGAATTTTCGAGTCGCACATATCTAATCGCTCTTCTCTCCTCTCGTGGCTCATTGGCCATTCGACTATTGATTTCTTTTACGACTTTTTGCACACGATGCAGTCGCATTTGCATTTCGTACTACTGACGGTGGAAGTTGACTGACGTGCTGCAGTGACTGTTTGAAAATTTATAAATTACTCAAATCAAAATTAGACGAGTGCTCACCTTTTTCCTCGGGTGGTAGGTCATCCTGAGACTCATGATCCTGGTTAGGATCAGGACTGGGTGCATCCGTTGTAACGCTACCGCCTAGACGTCCTTCCCCCTTTGCAGGTACCCACAATTGCTGGCCCGCATAAATAAAGGTGCTGCCCAGTCTGTTCAATTTGGTCAGCTCGGAAGGTGTAGTGTCAAATCTGGCCGCTACCGAAGTCAGGGTATCCCTGTCGTTCACCTATGTGTAAACAAGAGAAAATAATTTTTTCAGATTTCCAAAATAGTCACAAAAAAGTTTCTTTCGCTCATGATAATTTTTTTTATAAATAACTGCTATCGGCTCGACTGACATTTCAATTGCCGAGTATAACCGTCGCATTACAGATCCGCATTCTGTACCTCGATCACGAGAATCTCTTGAATTTCTGTTATATGCCCAGGGATTCGGAATCCTAAGGGAGGCGTCATTCGATACACTTCTCGGAGTATTTACCGACCTGGATGCCAGCAGCTTCCTGTCCTAGATATGTGGCTGGCTGACGAGAGGACCCGAGAAAAAGTGGCCTTCTTATCGCGCTAGATTAAACATTGCAAGGAGCATCCATTGTTCTTGGTTCGTGTCTTTCAACGTGGCTTCCCCTTCCGAATTCTCTTATTGTTTCCATTTTACAAATTCGACGTGAATCTCAAACCAGATGTCACCCCGTCTGCCATGTTGGCATTGTTCATGTTACAGATAATTATAATGCATATACCATAACCTAAAAACGACTAAAAATGTGGAGCGTCTTAAGTTGGGATTCGAACCCGCAACCTTTCGAATACCAGTCGACTGCTTTGACCACTGAGCTACGCCAGCCGAATACTTTCCGTTATCGCCGTTTTAATTTTAATTCCCATGTATGATATATATACATAATAATTATATTTACCGTATAGGCAATCGTATTAATGGGTTGAGAAACACGACCGTGTTTCTTCTCCTGAGTTGTCGAACCATCCTTGCTTTCGGTATCGGAATCTGGAAGATAGAAATTTAGGGTTACTAACAAAATATTCGTATTAATACCGAATTTTGACAATGGTCAAATTATTTTGGTTCAACTGACGAACAATAATAAATTGACACACCTGCATAAGAATCAAAGATTTTGGACGCGTTGCCCACCATGTAGTAGACAACATAGTCTTTTACTTCTTTTTGGTAAATATACACGTTATCAGGCTCGTAATCCGCGCTTTCCCATTGGGACAACGTGCCTGGATATCCGTATTCCATGCCTGTTTTTCTTTTTATATAAAAGATAAATATTACGTCCGCATCAATCACTCGTATTGCGCGAGAGACGATTAACTTGAAAACTGAAAAGAATCCATGTACCACGGAGGTTAAGGTCTCCCGCGTCGCGACGCTCCCGAAACGCTATGACGTACTGACTTCTTCGTGCAAATTGACACTAATTTTATACTTCATCAAAATACTTTACGTTCGCGATTGCCCTGTAAGAAGAGACAAGAAAATGGAATGATGCTGAGGGAGAAACAGATTCGAGTCTTTGCTTCGAACTGTGATGACATGACGAATTCAATAGGCGAAGTCAGAGGTCATACCGATTGTACACTACCCACGGGAGGTCAAAGAGGTACGAGGCACTATTGAGCACTAGTACATTAGTATGACTGATATAAATTCCTGAGCCTAATTCAATCTCGGTAATTGATCAGGTACCCATTAATTTTTTTCAAAGAAATGACATTTTTAAATTACACAAATATTTAACTTACATACGAATGTCAACGAGAAATGAGAATAATTTTTTTAATGATTCCGAACCTCAACTCTGCACTGGAATAAGACAGAGACCAACGAACTGAATTTAGAAAGCAGAAAAACTTTGCGTTTAATTAAAATAACACGAAAAATTAGGGACTCGATACGCGACTAACCGATATGGCCTTATCAGGAGAAAATTAAAAGCATAACCTTACTTGCTTGACAAAAATTTAACGTATCTCGAAACTCTATATTGGAGGCTATCGAGGTGTCAGCATGACTCGGTTGATCGTACACAGATGTGAAAAAAAAATCAAATTTCTTTTTGTCCCGAACACAATGATTTTTGACGTGAAATTATCGTGAAAAAATACATCTGAATCCTATTCGAAAGCACAACACTAGAAATGCACGAGGTAAATGATTTCACTCGAATCAACGACAAAGCAAAATATTCTAATACGAGTCCACTGACGCGGAGGTTGCTATTGGATGTCATTGAACACTCTGTACTTTCGAATAGCCGTGAGTATTTGGCAGAGACATTAGAGTCCACAGGAAATCAAACAAACATGGCTCACAGACACACAGTCCCTATTACTTCAGAGAAGATCTCCATTTCCACTAAACACAATGATATCGCGGTTATCCTTGATCGATTGTCATTAAGTCGTAGAATATCGAATACGTCAATGGAAGAACTGACAACACGTCCGAACTATACAGTATACACGTAGGCACCAGCAAATTCGTGACATTTCTCAAAACCGTTACCGTTAATGATTTACGATACCCGACTAGTTGCCTGCGACTGTGTCACACTGTGTTGATGGCGGCGCACGCGGTTGTCCGTGGCGGCCATTTTGGTATTGCGTCACTAGCGTCACGGCAGGCGCGTGCAACATCAACCGATTCGAACGGGCCGCGTAGACCAAACAAAATTAAAGGCGATATCAAATCTATTCCGATATATATTATCAAATTGATATATTCGTCAAGTATATTATTAATAACATGCAGGAGTAGCGATATTAATATTAATACAATGTAATGGAACTCTTTTAATAAACACAATAAAAACCTGCAATGTAGCCTATGGACAAAGACCCGTGGACGGCCTATATGGTAAAATGTACTATTGACTAAAGACATTCGGAGATACTACTGACAGCTTGCCCTCGCATAAATATACGAGGTATCAGTTTCACGAAGGGTTATTACACTATGGATTGTATGATCGATTGAAAAATAAATGTCGGCATTGACTGCCAGGTCAATTGGATCTGCCTGTACTTAGAAATATATTTTGTATGGCTGTGGTGGTATTCTGCATTTGATTTGGAAGAAAGATTATTTCGCGAACCAATAGGGAAAGCCTAAAGCGGCGGAGAAAAGAATTCGTCGGATTAAGAATCGAGGAAGGATTCGTGGCATTGCGTCTTCTTCGTGGCATCTCCTTGTTTCCTATTTATTTCGATTTCCAAGAGCAACCTAGTCGATCTGGGAATCCGCTCCAGATTGCGAAAGTAAGTCAATGCGATGCAATCGGCTGAGGTCGAACTAACCTAAGGTCGTCCAGACCTTCGGCTGGACTCTCGGCCAGAACATTTCTTTAGCATTGTATCGTGTTTACATAAATGATATTTTCTTTCTCCCCTTTACTATCTTTTATTTTTTCTTATTTTTGTCTTAGCTCAACTTTTTTGTACCTTTCGAAAGCTTATCGACCGACTCGAAGCGTCCTTCGACTTTGTTGCGAAGTGCGTCCAGGTCGAACGGTGCTGTAAATCCATGATCCACGCTGCGACTCTTGCTCCTGAAAAAGATACAGGAATTAGGTGAAAATTATGTAACATTGATTGAGTCGGTAACCTCGTTGAAACATTATTTTTATTATTGTCGTTGACATTGTTTTATTGTATAAAAGGATTATTTCATTGCCTTTGGATGAACTTTAGCACCTATCGTTTTTTCTGCTATACATATGTATTTACGAAGAAAATATGAAAATCGTTGAATACAATGGTAGTACAGGGAACTATGATAACCATACGATATTTACAGGACAGAGATGCAAGGTTGGCGAGACATGCCAAAAATATTCAAGATACAAGCATGCCTTGTGCAAAAAATAAAAAATAAAAATCTAATCAATTACACAAGCGATATAGCAATCGAGTGGGTTAATCCTTGTGTTATTTTAAATTATATGTTATCCATAAAAAATAGTAGTTATCTTAGTCAGAGTCTTAGCAAATAATATAAATATTATGCTTTTCAGTAACAAACCTGAAGTAAGGCACTGTGAGGTTCTCAGTCGACCTGGAATGTGTCACATCCTGAGACATCCGTCGGGACCTTCGTTGGTGCAAAACCAAAAAAGAAACGAAAAAAAAAGAGGCAATCAGACACATGCTACATGCTTAAGAAAATAAAAAGTTGAAGCAAAATTATTCGAAAAACTTATGGGTAATAGCAAATAAAAAACGAAAATATATTCACGAGCCGATGCATTGTGACATTCGCAAGCCAAGCTTAAAGTATGTGATAATATTATTAGGTTGTGAATCAATGAATAAATGTTTTAATCACTTAAGAAATTACCGCAATGTCACTGACTTTGCTAATCGTTTGATTGCTGATCGAAATCAATGCTCTTAATATACTTTGAGTTTTGAAACATTGACAAATGGAATGAGAGTGGATAATGTCCCGAGGGAAAATGTTACTCTCCATTTTACTGCGGTTAAATCAGCTTTTTAGTGTCGTTCACGGTGACGACGCTCGTCGCGCAATCTGTATGCAAATGTGAGTTCCCCAGTCGAGTTTCCACGCGTACACCTTTACCGACGGTCGATAAAGCAGTTGCCTGCTACAATTAGTCTTTTTCGCATCAAATCAAAAGACGAATCTTGGAATACAAAATAGATGAAAATAATGCATTATCAATATAAACCAGCTGGTCGTTTCCCTCCTTTCCGATAAATTATTTATTACGACACCTAAAAATATTACACTGTTTACAAACAATTGCGAGATATTATGAACATTTCCACGAGCCAAGTCGAGTAACCTAAATTTTCTTTTGGCAAAGAGACTCGTGCAGATTGTCTATAAGAATCTAAAGCGCAATAACATTTTCACGCTTTATAAATAATTTTGAATTTTTTCAAAAATGCCTTGCGCAATTCAAGGCAGCCCAACTTTTCAATTATTAAATTAACAAAAGTCCCACAAACGTATTACGATACATAAATATAAAACTACGAGATTAAAATAAATATCTATAACAATGAAAAACTATTTCCAGAACATACTATCAATTGTAGCACAGCAAGAAAAAGCAATCAGGTGCGTCGACGATGTCGACGTTAAGAGAAGTGAGGCTTAAAATACTTTCGGGGATGAAAGCCCAAGAAGTTGTACTCGATACCGACGTGGACCCCAAAAATCGAAGCGTGGGTTGGCAAACTGCCGCCACGACCACTGGGTCTCGCTCGACCATTCATACTAAAGTAATTTTTAAAGAAATTCTTTACTTATGAAAAGTTTCTTTTTTTTTTCACAGAAACTCTCTACTCCGCCCATAAAAATAGAATCGAATAGTTCTTCTAGCACGGATCTGTTTATTTTCCAAAAGTGTCAGTCAGTGAAAAATTCAATACACAAGAACAGAGTTCCGCGCAGTGCGCAGTACATTTGCACCGACGTATACACGTAACTTACCCGCGATAATGGACTCGAGGAATACTTTATCGAGCATACAAAATCTTATTTTTGTCGCACGTAAAAACCATAATAAATTAAACGTCTGCTTTATAAATTTTTTTAAGCAATATTGGCCAACCGTCACTCTGCCGTAGCACATGACACAGTCAAGATAAAAATACACGAGCCGTGTCTCTCTCGGTAGAAAGTGGATCCACCGGATCCCCCTGGATGCACGTGCAGCCATTGTAGCTAAATTGCAAGCCAAAAGAATCAGACTATCAGATTTCATCTTCGAAATTGTATACATAACCTATCACGTTAGAAAATCCTAGATCGTAAGACCTTTCTCGACTTTCTAGGGATCATTAGAAAGAACCAAAAAACAAGCAGGAGGCAACGATCCATAAATCCCCAGCGACTGGAATACTTGGTGAAATTGTCAAGAGAAATATTTTCCATTCCAAATGAATATGACGTTGATATACAAAAACACAGTTGGCAGCTCCGAGATCTATGCCAAGAATGCTTTCAGTTCAAAAATACTCGTATAACATTTTCATCCCAGCCGCACCGTACATATTTTCCGAGCATAGAATTAACACTCTAACCGAATTCTCATTACTTAACGAAATCCCAGTAAATAGTGCAGGACGTATCGTTAAAGGTATTCGAAAAAATAAATCCCAGCTTCGTTTATTTCTTACCAACACCCTTTCTTACCGATTCCACAATTTACGTAATGGTCCGTTAATCCCCGCATGAGGCATGACGTCATGATTTCATTGTCAGATAATACAAAATTAGCGTGACTGAATGCACTCGTATGAAGTTCGAAAAAGAAAAAAAATTATCCAACATTTCTTGTATCCTCCGACCAGACATGTTCGAAGCTGCGATTCGATGAAATATTAATATATAATTAGAGTCAAGGACCATCTTTAAAAATGTTTCTTCGGAGGTCTTCCATTGTTTTGATTACTCCATTTCTTGCCACATTCGCATTACGTACACGTACCTTATTAAGCGGTGAGTCCGGCAACGTCGCTAGGAGGTGTTGCCTGTTACGCCATGACGACGTTGCCACAGACTCTCGTTAAATTCAAATCACAGGTACCCTCCCCCCTCCCCGGCTTCCCTATCGCGATAAATTTCGCTACGAGCATAACCGACTCTTAATTAAATTAATTATTCGCCATGAGTTCGATTCGAGCGATCCCAGCAAAAAGTAAATCTCATTAAATCTCAACACACCACGTGCTACAGCATTTTTCAGCTCTGCCTCACGTTCCCTTTCAGCCTAGACGTACCTACGTACGTTCACCTTTCACCAGGAAATGCGATCTCAAATGTGTCATTCAGCACTGCCTATCAGATTCCAAGATAGACACGATCACCGGACGTTCCATTAAGAAAAAAACAAAAATTGTAATCGAATCTCGATGAAATTTTACTTTCGTTCATTGACAAAGTCTGGGTCCGCCCTACCGGTTCTGGTAATCAGAGATCAAAATTCTATGGCACGCGTACAAAAGTCAAGTGCACTAAAATGCAACGTATTCAGGGAATAGGAGTAAATTCCAGGATCCTTGATTATACACAGCAAAGCATCCCAACGCGTGCCTCCCTGTGACCTATAGATAAGCAATCGGCCAAGTTCAGATGTATCCAACAACCAAGTTCCCCATTGATCAAATACCGATACAATCCCTATTTACCGTGGTTCCGGTAGGTACCGGCCTAATTCCTCACATACAGGTCGCATGCAGATACCAATGCTTCGGTGTACCTAAACAATACTGGATATACCTGCTCGCCCTACGTTCCCGGGACAGCAACAAGCGTATCTAGGCAGTGACGATATGCGAAAATAAAGTGACTAGGGAGACTACAGGCCCTAGATAGAAAACGTAGACTACAGGAATGTTACTAGATGGTAGCAGGAGCGTCGAAAGTACAGGGAGACCATCGACGCGTGACCGCACTCACGTAGAGAGGCTCGGAGACGGCACCTCCTACCTCCTAGCCACAGTACAGTCCTCCTCCGACATATTGCATTATGGGTACATATACTCCGTGCACAAAGTTTCTCAACCGGCTCGAGCGCTATCTTGCGTGCGCGCTGACATTTCATGTATTTACAAGTCTGTTATACGTAAGCGATCAGAGGCAGAGATACGCTATATTCCGGAGGATTAATGAGTGCTAATAAAAATGTATTAATTGAATTATAAGATAAGAGAGATATAAGATAACCCGGTAGCAACAAGGGAAAACACCATTGACTTCCCGTACCTATACTGTGCTACTACGGTTGGCTCACCGGAGAAAGGGAACTGGTAGAACCCGAGCGTCTTGCGGCGAGTTTCGAAACTATCATTGTGACAGAGACGCCTTAAGCAGCATCCACACTGTTCGAAGGAATGGCATCGTGAATCGACTTCCGCTGTCGATTTACGAAATCATTCGTAAAACCCGTCCACGTATCCAACAGTGGGGCGTACGAGCGTCCCAGGTTGGTGGGAACGCGTTAAGCTGTTTCTATGTAGCTACACCGGGGCACGTGTTTGTTATCGAGAGTTAGCAGGAATAGGATCGACGACCGTTTGGGATTCCGATATCGTAGTCTCAATTGTTATTCCTTTCTCGTAGTCGCACTATATAATCCCCATTGTCATATTGATTGTAGTTGATCTGGGAAGCCGACGCTTTTGTTTGCTCGCAAAAGAAAAATCACCCGGTATTACAATTCGTACAGTAATCACGGCAAAACTGTCGTCCATTATTCAGGATGAAACTGTGTGACTAGCATAGATGCGCTCGAAGCTTCCAGAACCTTCCATTACTCGGAGTTAATCTGCTATCGTTATAATTGTTGTTTGTCGTCGGCCTGAATGTCCTGCATAACCGAAACCTCACGCGAGGAGCCACGTGACTCGAGTCTTTGGATCGATCCAGGAATTCTAATGGATTTTAAGTGACACGTAGCGACCCAAGTATTTTCCATGCTAGACCAGCTAGACCAGCTAGACCAAGACTGATCTTTGGGATTAAGCTCGATGACAATGAGCTATCATTTGCTTCCTCATTAGTAATCGATTCTACCATTATGCTTGAGAGACTCTGGTTTTCCCGTGATGCACCGCCGATTCGAGAATCTTCTGCGGTAAGGTTGGCAACAGCTACTAATCAGACAGCGGTAGCGTCGCCGGCCCGACGGTCGATCCGATCGATACTCCCGGCAGTTTTCAACGGGCCCGACGAGCCGGCATTCCTATGGAAATCCGACACGCGACAGCGCCCACGCATCGCGCTCGCACTGCTCGCCGGTCCTGACCTTACGAAAATGTAAAATTCGAGAAAAATCAATTGACGGGCAACGCGTGCATTGACGTCTGCGAGCCGAGCCGTGGGAGATCGTGTGGATAAGGAAGCGAGACGAGGTCGACCTCCTCGAACAAGGTCTAAGGTCGAAGACCGTGCAGCGCAGGAGGGCGAGCAACGGGGCCCGAAGCGGACCCTCCAGGCGTGGCCTTTGCTCTCGAGCCTGAACCTGACATCGAACGAGTCCACTAACCTCTTTCCTTCCTGCTTCTGGGACTGGGCCCCCCCCCCCCTCGTGCCCCTTCACTCGATCAACGTATCATTAAATATGGGCCTTACGGGAAGAGCCCTCCTGGCGAGGCCACAAGACGTAGATCAAATTTTAATAACAATCAGAACCGACACCCGTTCCTTCCAAATGTCACGAGTCCAATGTATCAGGTGCGTAACGATATATACCGATATAAGGATCGACGCTGGCAAGGCCCAAAAGCATTTTAATTACAATCGACGGCCAACCACGTGTTTTGGGGCCCGTTATAAATCGATACGAAAGCAAATAAGAAATCATCCGCGAATTTCTTAAAATGGGCCTCTTCCATTAAAATGGGACTTACGTGCCATCGTCCTCCGTTCCATTTTTGTGCGCGCGTGATATCACTGATAACCAATCCTGTCTCATAACTGGCGTAACGATAACGTAACGTCGGTATACATAACGCACGTGACGTAATTTCAGCAATGCTTTCCATTACGCGATGGCCAAATTTTGACACGGAATCCCAATAGCCAGCGTGGGATCGATCTATATGCAAGTCTCGAAGTCATAAACAAGACCGTAGTCGGCGCAACGTCCGTCTACGTATTTGGCGTTGGACTTCCGTTTCGCATTGCCGCAAGCTAAAGGCTTGCGAATCGCCGTTGTCGTTCCGTCATTTGTATTCCAGTTGTATGCTCGCGTTGATTCTACCATTACGCCTACTTCCTTCGTTGTCGTTTTATATTCATCTTATGCACACAAAAAATTGACCAAGCCTTAACGGGTTGAGCGGCCAGGGGGATGGTAGATCAGTGTCCTGTCGCGGAGCAACTTAGTCACCGGCCAATTAACTTACGGCTTTAATTGTCTCGAATTATCATACTTGCGCCTTGACGTCGAGTTCACGTTTCGCATTACTGTTTTACTTGCCCCATCCGTGTCAGGCGAGACTCCGTAAAACCCTTCGGCACCTATCGATAGAATTGCATCCCGGTTAAAAGTAGCTTGTATCGAATGGAAATTTAATTTAAAAAAATTATACACAACAATTTTCATAATTTCCATTGTCAATCTGCATCCCGTTACCAGAAATCATTATACGCGTATGCGAATCGCTATACGAATTCCCATACCCATTGCGTTAGCTTTGTGTATTTCCATCGGACTGTGGAATCGCGAGCGCACCCTTGCGTCACGGTAAATTAACCAGCGTGTGGAAGTTAACGGTAACAACGATTAACCCAGAGAAACTATTGGCGAGAGCTGCCCTATATATAAGAAATGCATGTCCGCGTCGATATTTCAATATCTTTAATTTTTGTCTTCGGTCCGTCACGTACCTCCATTTTGAAAGTTATTAAAATAACATCACGCGAAAGGCTGCACGATCGGAGAGCTAGTTTTATTGAAATTCCCAGCGAGCTCGGACGTCCGATAGTCAGGACTAGAAAAAAGAGTGTCTCCTTAAGCAACGCGATAACGGAAGATCGAGAGTATAAAGAAAGCGCGAACGAAATGCACGGAGGGAGCAGCGCGCCCATCGCGTACAGTCCTGAGTTACCGTTTATGTGGGCTGTTAACGGGACAACGTCCTAGCTACTATTGCTGGCAGACGCTGCTCCTGCTATAGTATATACCTGTGTGCCGGAGTCGGGTTGCTGGCTGTTGCTCCTGGTACTGGCATTCGTCAGGGATTCCGGTACCCTTCTTTTTCTTCCTTTTGATACTTTACTGTTACCGTGATATTCCGTAAGGCCAATATCGATCGTAGTTCGTTTACGTTCTGCTCGATCGACGCGCCACCTACAACTCAACTACGAGTTAGTTTCGAACCTTGTACGCTGCCGTTGCACTCCGCTTCGACGGTACGAATGGCTACGAACCAAAACCAAAACGAAATGCAATATACGTTAAATGAATAGAGTACAAGCTGTAACGAAGGTAGTTCGTCGATATTTCTTTTGATGATATAGATAAGCGAGCAAGGGTCATGCTTGTTGCTGAAAGTTTGTCCAAGTATACAGTGTGGGAATGTTTAACAAACAAGTTAATCTGCTGACTGATTAATCAGCCAAATGTGTAGACAGCAGACGTGTCGTGTAATCGATCGTGTATAATAATAATATATATAGATGTATACAGTTATATTATATATAGATAGAGAAACATGGGGTTGACTGTGTATATAATCACGAAGATTGATTATGCGTCATCGGTATAAAATAAAACGTCATTAGGATCTTCCTAATGGGCCCCGGAAGGCCGTTTTGACCAATCTTGAGATTAGTGTATTCAAAGTCGGCCGTTCGAAGTCGTTTTTACAATTCCTAGCAATATCTACCAGTCGAACATGCTGCTATTAATTTCCAAATAAAGGATCGTTGACGCGATAACGAGGCACGTGTTATTAGAAAAATAAAAATGTGTATGATTAACTTGAATTAAATCATCAGAGTAGCGAGTTGGTAAGGCGTTAATAAAGAAAAATTTAAAATCGTCTAAGGTTTCTTTGAATACGATATCGATATCGGATATCGGTGATCGATTAATAAAAATGTGCGACAAGCACGTGCGAATGACTATGGTGTATTCTGAAATAATAATACTTATATTTTTTGGTCCATAATCAGTGGGCAATAGCAATTCAGACATCGATCCGACGATCGGTACTTGGCAGTGCCATATCTTAATCGTAATCAATAGATATCGAACCAATCGGTAATTACGCTTGCCAATCGAACCAAACGGTTGTTAATGGCCGATCAGTGCTATCGATGGCATCAAGATTCTTCGTATCTTTTCAGTCTTTGTGAACCAAAGCATAAAAAGCACCTTCTTTTAAATTTGAGAAATTAAAGAAAATGCTAAGGATTACCGTACACAGTCATACGGCTGACGAAAGGTTTCCCTCTAGTTATGCAAATCGAGACTCGCGATCTACTGTCCTTTGACAAGGCCAGCTGGTGAGTCGGTAACATGCTTATACACAATGGGCGCCTACCGGACAAAGGGAAGCATAGCCCTGTTCTTGTGGCTGGTACGTATCACGTATTCACTACTCCACCTTATTTGCTGGCAATGCCAATCGTGAGTTTTATACGTATTAAGTATCGCTGAATGAAAAGAACTACCGGTCGTGGCTTTAAAAGTACGCAGAACAGAGACAGAGGGACGGTGGGTGTTCGTAAATTCGAAAAAAATGTCTCACCGATATCTGAAAGTACGTCTAACAATCTTGCGTACTTGAAACAACAACAGAACTACGTGGATTATTATAATGCCAGTGTGTACAGAATGTAGTACGTACCGACTGCTTGTAGTACGTACTATCTAGCGTGGCTTTCAGCTTGGAAGGTCAGCGACCTAATCTATCGCCTACATCTTGCCAGTCGATGTTGCAGTCGACGTGCCTCGACTTCATTCGACTCTCGACTCTCGACTCGATTCTACTCCCAGTCATCTGCGAGTTCGTGTGAGCAAGGGGAGAGATAGAGAGAGAGAGTCAAGGATGAAAGAATAGAAAGAAGAGAGAAGGGAGCGAGATGGAAGAAAGAAGAAAAGCAACGAACGTGACTCGAATCGCAATACCATGACTGGGCCGATTCTCAAAGCGGAAAAGAAACGCGCAGCCTTAACCATCGAAGGCGGACATGGCCGTTTACAAAAGTCGACATTTCGCCCGGTTTGGTCCACTATGGTGAGATCGTAAGATGCTAGAAGACGAGTGACGTTCGGCATTGCGTTACCTTCGGTAAGGCTTTTCCTATTAAACTCGAAAGCCCTATCGCGAGCATTCGTAATGTCTTGGAATTTATGACCAAGATTAAAAATAATTCACCAGACAAAATTCTTGTTGTGTTTACTGTGGATTCAGAACGGTGAGATCCACGAAATCCCCAGAAGTGACTTCTCCGTTTCTCTAATTCAATATTTCCCCACTCACGATTAGTCATATACGCGTCTGTACGCGCAGCGAAGAAGGCACTTCGCAAGAGCCACGTATATCTCCTGGATATTAACGTAAAATTCATTAGACTGGAAGGCGTTAGCGATTATATAGAAATTTCCGTAGTTATCGAAGACAAATGATTCTCCCGCGTGTTTACAATCGCAAGAGCCGCTTCTCGCGATTTATCATAAATTCTCGAAAGTGGCTGCCGTAGGAAAACCAATTGAGCAATAAAAGGAAAAAGTTCGTTCAAAGCGTGCGCGTTACCTGCTGACGGAGTCTGGCACGAATATATTCCACCAGGACGGTCTCTTCTGTCTAACGTAAATTCCGTCGTTGCTGCCAACTTCGGAAGCCGAAACCTGCGGCGCACCGGCGACTCCCTTGCGCCGTTTCCGATCGATTTTCGGGGGTTTTGCCAAAGGATGCCAAGATTTCCGTCTCCCCTTGCGGTCGACGAGTTCCGCAGCGGCGGCCGCCTCCGCGTCCACGGCCTCCTGATTCTCCTCGAGGAGATCCTCGGACACGTAAAAGACCGAGCCACGACGCCCACCGTCGCTGCTTCGACGCTTCTCCTCGCCCTCGACCAGACTACTCTTGTCCTTCTTGCCGGCCTTCCCCTCGTCGAAGGTGCTCGCCCTCCTGGCACGCTGGAACAGGGAGTCCCTCCGTGCCCGAAGATCCTCCAGGACGCTGTGTCGGCGACCTCTGCTCTTTGGTACTTTCTCACGACTCTCCTGCTCGAAATCATTCAAATCCTCCTCGAGCAGCGACGGCACGGAACTTCCCAGGATGGAGTCCTTCGTGAATATCCGCTTGGCCTCGAGGCTCTTTTCCTTATCACGTAGCTTCACGTTCTCAAAACCCCTAGGCGGAGCATTTTCCTTCGCGGAACGAAGCGCTGAATCTTTGCCCGATTCCTTTTCGCTTCTCTCTGACCTCTGCGAATTATTCCGTTGCTGCGCTGTGGGTTCCTCGAGGAGCGAGGGCCTGGATCCCAGCAGGGCACTTTGCTGCCCCCTTTGTTCCAAATTGTTGCCTTGCTGGATCATCGCGTCCTCTACCAAGGACGGAATGGATTTTCTTGAGGTTTGATCCATCTGATCGTCCTCTCTCAAAATTTCCTTACTCTTGGTCAACGTCTCCTCGATCAAGGAAGGTATGGATCGCTTCAAAGATACGTCCAATTTTGAATTGTATTGCTGGACGAGATGCCGATCGTCGGTGGGACATTGATCCGAGCTTGGGTCTTCCTTTGCGCCTTCGACTTCCTGTCGCTGGCCTTGCTGCGCCAAAGTTTCCTCGACTAAAGAAACGCACCGTCCCGAATCTTCTGTCGCGATTGCATGCATCTTTCCTACTCTTTCTTGCAATACCATTTCGTCGTCATTCGACGGCTCCTGTTGCTCCCGTTCCTCCTCTTGATCGGGTTGTTGCTCCTGTTGTTGCTCCTGTTGTTGCTCCTGTTGCTGTTCCGTCAGCGATTCCTCGACCAGGGACGGTATGTTTCCCGTCGATGCGAATTTACCGGCTGTCCGGTTGTTGTTCTGCGATTCCGTTATGTACATCGCGCTTTCCATACTCTATCTCGGCGCGAGTAATCTGCCACGGCTTTCTTTTCTCTTGGATCCTGCTCTCTTTTATCTTTTCTTTTCTTTCAATTCCCTAAACAATACGCCCACAATCACTCACGGAGTTTCCATAATCGTAGCACGCATTACGCTTCTTGGAAGTATTGTGTTTTTCATTGGGAAACGACATGCGAGTTGGAAGCAGCTACTGCGCCAGTGACATGTTTCTTTCCAAGCACGGTGCTTCTCTCTCTCTCTCTCTCTCTCTCTCTGCCGACTCTGATCTATCGTTCCCGCGATGATCCTGGCATTCTTTTACCGTTACTTTCAGTCCTCCGGTTGACTTCGCCTCCAAGAGAAAACTTCTCGACAATCTTGTCACTTTAACGGAGGCTTTCCCAGTCAGCGTTCACAATTCGAATTTCTTACGACGCTACTTTCATCCAGACGTCGAAATGTCATACGCCGAGAAGCGTATCCGAGCGTAAAGAGGAATGCGAATAAAACAGGCACTTTGGAAATAATGAAAAATGGTCTAATCAAATGTACACGAAAATAATCCTTATCGCAGCGATAAAAGCACCGTAAAGACGGTCCGATTCGAGACGGCTCGATGAAAAATCGAGCGTGCGTCGACGCACTGAAAACACTTTTGGACTCCTACAAAAAGAGGTTACGAAACTAACGGGGTGGGCGGGGGGGATGCGCGATGAACGATAACGAGCAAACGAATACGCAGTCGGAGTCAGGAGGAATCACTGGAGTAAAAATGAATAATAGAATATTCGACACTTCACTGTGGCGAGAGTATCTCGGCTTTACCGATTCTTCGTTAAGGCGCACTTTCACTTTGTGTATTTTCCACTATTAGCAGACAACGAGAATAAGCCGATTTGCTCTGTCAAAGGAAACAACTCGTGTATCCAACTGTTACGTTTTCTAAGGGATACTTGTAACTTTCTCATCCTATCTTCATTCTTCCCTCCTTGGTTTTTTACTCGTCCGCAAGATTCCGTTGCGCGCACCAACTTATTCCTCGTATCCGATTTCTAATTGCAATGTCAAATCTTGATGTCAATAAAGGAAAAGAATCGAGAAAGGAAGGAAAGACGCACAAAAACACTCGGGGACCTTTCGACGAGACTGAAGCAGACTGAAGCGCGTGCGGTCGAATCGCTTGTATTTATACAGCAACTTGCTATACCCAGAACTCCCCGCACTCCGCCCACCTCTTCGCCCAGACGCTGGCCGACTGACAGAGCCCAACAAACTGGCAGAGACTTGCAGACTAGCAGACGAGTACAGGCCGGCACATAGTCGCCGGCACCTCAACTTATTGCAATCAATAAACTCACTTAGACCCATTATTAAGTCCCTCAAGCTTTTCTTCGCCTGATGAAGTTTTCTTATGAAAATAATACAGTCTCCCATTCTCCCTCGTATAAAACGGATTCCGAATAAAAATGGCGCCTGTGTCTCTTTAGCTTTTTCTCCTTTAATTCTCCATAGAAGCCAGTAAGGAGCTCTTCTTATTAAAAAATTAGCATCGATCCTCCGTGCAAAAAAATGCTCAGAGACACTCGCTGCCAGAAGCTTCCGCCACGGACCCTCAATAGTCCCATTATGTAATATCCTCTATACGTGCGTACATCGTAAGTCCGACAAGTAATCCAAGTCCTCTAGATCGAAATAGAATTCGACTGTTTTACATTTAATTTTCCACAGGACCATCCACGCTCGCTACCTTCCTCTCCGCCGTATTACACGGCGGACACACGTTAAGTAGACTCAATTCGTTAATTCGTCCGGAGCGTTGACAATTGCGGAATTGCGACGATCAAAATACCAAACGAACTTAATTCAATTGAGCCAATTAACCTCGCGTTACTGCGTCGGTGGATCCTGGGCAGGTGCATGTCCGTACATTCCAATATACACACACACAATATGCACGACACACGCGCGCGCGCTCTTCCCTTCCTAATAAATTCACCCGGTGCAACTGCACACTCGTACGCTTTTGTTTTTCTCACGCAATGACTATTCAGCGTTTACTTTATCTCCGTGTACATTGCGCCAGCGTGACTTCCAGTCGTAAAACTTTCAGCAGTTATTCGTCATTAGTCACCGTGCAGCTACCGGTAGATTAGACCTGATTTCACAGCCAGTCTCTTCCTCCTGTCTTATCCAAATCTAGTATATAGACACTTTTTTTTCAAAATTTACCCATCGGACGTTTCATACGAATAAAAAGAACCACTCGTCGTGACGGCAACGTACGAGTCAATAATCCAATTTTGAATTCTTCGTCATTATTTTCCATGAGAAACAACATGGCTTCTCAAACTTCTGAATTACGCTCGATTGCGCTCGATGTTTGTTTCGTTACCTCGATTAAAAAAAAAATTTGCAAAATCCATCTGTCCAAACTAAACCCAACCGTGGACGAAGCACACCTGCACGAGAACATTTGGTCGTATAAGAAATTCTCGAATGACACCGAATTCTGTACATGTAATAAGCCTAATTGTATAAGGAGTATTGTAATCGACGTAAATTACGAAGAAAAGCCTAAAGACGTAAACTGACAGTTATGTTTGCACGAGCTGTGTTTACAGCGAGAGACTCTGTTTACAGACACGTGAACCGATTGGCTAAGACGAGAAGTCGGTACGTAATGAAAAACGGTCGTATCGTTGCGCAGATAATATTCGCCTCCCCCTCCCCCCCCCCCCCC